AGAAGAAAAGTAGAAAAAAATTAAAAGAATTTATTTTTCTGTAATTGTGACCAAACGGTCACTGAAAAATTCAGTGACCGTTTGGTCACCAACTCCAAGTGACCTTGGTGACCGAAACGGTCACTGAATTTCAGTGACCGTTCTGGTAAAAAAAAAAAAAATTTTTTTTTCCTATTAGACGAGCCTGGCTCGTTCACGAGCTGCTCTTCGAGCGGAGCCGAACAGTTCCTGAACAGTGACGAGCCGAGTGGGCTCGACTCGTCTAGTAAGCCAGCCCGCTCGGCTCCTGCTCGTTTTTTTATGAGCTGAGCGGCTCGTGAGCGTGAACAGTATGAGTTGACGAGCCGCTCGGCTCGATTGACACCGCTAGAGTTTGGTAAAAAATGGTGGCTAAATCTCTATTTCAACAATCACATTTTCACTTAAAATGCCAAACAAACAAGTGCTTATATTTCAATCGATACCAAACATGATTTTATATATTAAAAAAAAAATGCAAAAGTTGGGGGGGAGACGAGGGTACGTGCCCCCCAGGACTCCTTGGGCTTTGTGGAGCCTAGTTTTGTTTGATCCATTTGACGACCCGACCCGACCCGAATAATGTTGCGTGGTTTCTTAATGGGAGATTTTCTGAGACTTAGTTCATGAGAGCTCCAACTTGGGATTTTTTTGGCCCGTTTAATTGCCAATTGTGAATCATGTGCGAAAGGATATATAGAAAATGCAGTTTTAGTAATTAGGTTTCTTTACGATAAATAGAGAGAAAAATTGTACGGCCGCACATTGTATTCTTTCCCTGTGACATCCCTGCAACTCCGTGGACGTAGGCAAATTGGTCGAACTACATAAATATTGTCTTGTGCGTGTGATTGTTTTTCTTTGGCGTGTGTTTTCTCTATTCAGTGTTTCTCACAGATTGGGAATTTCGGGTTGATTCCCTACATGAGCTACACCGCGCACGCAATTATTGAATGCGCGTATGGATGCTAATTTTATTTATTGTTTTTTCTATTTTGTTGAAATAGGGATGTGATGGATCAGTACTACTTGACTCTACTAAAGATAACAAAGCAGAAAAAGACTCCCCAGCAAATTTAAGTTTGAGAGGTTATGAAATAATCGATCAAGCCAAGGAAGAACTTGAAAAGCAGTGTCCAGGAGTTGTTTCTTGTGCTGATATTCTTGCAATGGCTGCAAGGGATGCTGTTTTCTTTGTAAGATTTATCAAAATTAAACTCTCATTTGGATTTGTGTAGTTGGAAGTAAATTATGAGTCGCTGAAGTTCGTTTTGCTATAACTGAATCGCTTACTTTATACTTATAATTCAATCAAGTCATTATGTCCTCTTGTATTAGGCTGGAGGGCCAGTGTATGACATACCTAAAGGAAGAAAAGATGGAAGAAGGTCGAAAATAGAAGACACGATCAATCTTCCTCCACCAACCTTAAACAGTTCTGAGCTTATAAGGATGTTTGGGAAACATGGTTTTACCGCTCAAGAAATGGTGGCTTTGTCTGGTAATTACTAATAATTTCTACAAATTATAATCAAATCTTCAAATATCTGCAGTCTCAGTTCTTGATGGTGTTGATTTATAGGAGGGCACACACTAGGAGTGGCAAGATGTTCATCATTCAAAAGCAGATTGAGCAACTTCGACACCACTAATGATGTGGATCCTACATTGGACAGAAAATTTGCAAAAACACTGTCCAAAACATGCACAGCAGGGGACAATGCTGAGCAGACCTTTGATTCAACAAGAAACAGTTTTGACAATGATTATTACAGTGCACTGCGGAGGGAAAATGGTGTACTTTTTTCTGATCAAACTTTGTTTGCAAGTGCAGCAACTAGAGGAATTGTGTATGGTTATGCTATGAACCAGGCTATGTTCTTCCTAGATTTCCAACAAGCAATGGTGAAAATGGGTATGCTTGATGTTAAAGAAGGGTGGAAAGGAGAAGTTCGATATAACTGTCGTCTAATTAACTGATGTGTATGTAGAGGGTATATTTATGTAAATATTTCTCATGATGTTGTGTTGTTACCTTTACTCCAAACATTGTTTTAATGAAGATGCTTTAACATACTTGTATTTCTTGAAAATCAATTGATTTTATGAACAATTGTTAGTAAAAGTAACAAGGGGATAATGAATTCTCAGCCATCGTCTACTTTTTCTTGTTAACTATTCAAGCATTCTCCCACTTGGACAACATAATTAAACAACAAATAGTCACATAACCAATAATCTCGAACAAAAAGTAGTTATTTCAATATCTTTCATATCAAAATGACTACACACTGTATGTTATCTCCCGCAATACATCAATATCATCATATGTGAGCATATCATCTACCTATAACATGAAAATCATCCATATATTCCCATTAGCCTCAAGGTACATACATTTATCAACAAAATATTATAGAGATAACGTAAAAAAACTTTCAAAAATCGACATTCAACCATTTGGCGTAAATCAAGTTAAAAATAGTTGTGGTGGTGACGGCAGTGGCGATGAGGAAACTTATCCAAATTATTTTCCCTAAATTGCGTGACAATACACCCATAGTGTGATTCATAAAATTGAAAAGGTCAAAAACTGAAACAGCAATATTGTTATAAAAGAATTTCCACATAGCAACAAAAAAATCGGATCACATACCCCTCTGTCTTTACAACTACCCTCCAATGGCCAAGAAAAGTTCCCTTCTATCAGTATCTTAATTTTAAATTCACTATTTTTCACAATTTATTGATCAATACAAAGGCTTGTGATTTTTTATTTTTATTTTTCTAAATCTTTAAAGATTATGCATTTTAACCCTGTTAGTACAATGCTAAGTTTGAATGATATTAGTTGTTCTGGTTCAATTTTTTGACATTGCAGGTAAAAAAATGGCTCAGATTCTGCTTCATGGAACTCTTCATGTTACGATCTTTGAAGTTGATAGGCTGCACGGTGATGGAGGTGGTGGTGGTGGGCATTTCTTCCGCAAGGTATAGCTTTGTGTTCAAAATTCGATTGATCGCATTCCATTTTTTTTTTCGAGCTTGATTATTATTGCGTTGCTTGGTTTTATTTTTGTGAAATATATGATTTGTATGTATACAAACGTAGTTTAATTTCTTTAAAGTGTGCTATGCCTGAAAGATTTGAAAAGGTGTAGGTGATTGGCGCTATTTTTTTTCACTTTGTTGCTCTTTTTGAGTGGGATTCGATCCATCTCGAGGAATCGTTAAGGTTTGATTCATCCATTTTGATTGCATCTAAGCTACTTCTGCCTTCTGGTCTTTAATTAATTACATTTGGCAATGATGCTGGTCTAGTCCATTTTCTGATTCGTGTCTGTAACAGCTGAATTTGACAAGAATTTAACATTTACGGGACTAATCATATTTTGGGTC